GATGTTGCATTTGTTTGTTGATACCAAATTGTGCGCGTTTATAAAAGCTTCCAAATGCAGCTCATCGACATTATAATGTTTATCATATTGTTCTGTCTTACTTCACATGACGTCTGTTCATTGTGTGTTAAAGCGACACAAAAATATAGACCGTTACTCATGTTTTTAGTGGTACACAATCGTTCCTCCATACTTTATCGGTATCATCTATCCTCCTTTGTTATTATTTGTACTTCAGAACAGAAAGTGCTCTATCAGCTACTAGGTGATCTGTCAGTTGAAGTAGCCATCAGTTAACGTAGGATTTAGGTTTGTTAGAAAGGAACTTATGGTAAACATAAAGCAGCTTTTGAAAATAAAGTTGCACATTTAATACTTGAAAAAACAGTTTTGTTATCAACCGATGCACATATTGTTGGCCACACACCACATGACCTCAGCTAGTTGGCCTGCAGCTTTAAGGTTGCTACACCTTCTACTTCGAGCTTTCACCATCCTTTCTGCTGCAGATACACTGGATCAGTGTTAGTCTTGTGTGATTCTGACGGTGCACCCTGCTTCACTTAGCGGCTAAAGTGTTGAGTTCAACATAGCTTTGTGCTTGATGTAAAACAATGGACTTTTACAAAATAAAGATAATTTAGGCCCTCGAATAAGTGCCTATGCTTATTAAAAATTGGGGTGGCTTGCCACTATTCTAAGCCACATCTGTAAACGTCAATACCTTACAATCCCCACAAAGTGTTAAGTTTATTTTGTAAACATTTGGTGTAATCCGTGATGCTACTAATGCAATATTTATGAGAAGGGGATTTTAATTTTAGTAGCTGTTGTTTTCATTGCAGTAGGTATAAAAGCAAATTAAACTCCACACCACGGAAGACGCGCTAGACGACCAATTGATCTATTACAGTAATGTGAATCCAATAAATACATCAGATTCCAAACCAGTTGTTTAGAAGGCATAGTGCAGCTGCCGCGTTTTTATTGGTTAAACTAGGTATAGAAATCATAAGAGTTCGAACATAAAAACCTGGGGCCCGTTTCCTCACTTTTATTCCGAATCTCTACTCCGCAGAGCCTCTACATGCCTTATGGATGGGTTGTGGTTGATTTGTACTTTACATGCCCTTTGTCCGCGGCGATCCACAAGTTCATTTAGAATGCTTGTGCCTTCTAGTTTCCGCAGAAACGTTTCACTTGTAGCGAATCCGACGAAGACCACAATTGGTTTGCACTGCCAGCTAGCAGTATATGATACTTAGTCAGGAGAAACATTGGCGAGCCGTCGTAATTTACTAGCTCATGTGTATAACGGCTCATATTACGTGATCTAACAGGAAAATAAGTCCCTAAATATATATATATATATATAATTGCAATGCTACTTAGGACACTCACGCTAAAATACTGTTGTAGTTGGAATCTTCCGAGTCCAATTAGCTCGATGTTCTACGGTTGCCTTTACTTGAGCTTTAACGGATGCTAACGTACCACTAGCCTCTTGGCTGAAGAATTGTAGTTAACATCATTGGGAATATGGTTTGCAATTTAATGTTATCCAGTTTTACTTACCCCATTTTAAAACACCCAGTGTTGAATTATAGTATGCCTTTTACGTAGATTGGTTTCATCTCGGCCGCTTAGAGAGCGAACAAAATCGAATCATTGTTCTATGTTACGGAAATCTAGGGCGAAGCTTTATTAACAGTTCCGTTCGTGTATATACTGCAACTATCATGAATGTCAGAGACGGGGTTAACATTCTCCTTAATCGAGCTATCAATGCTTATAACTTTGCGTTTCAGACAATTTGAAACGGGATGTAAAATATAGCATTGAGTCAAAACAACAAAAGGCATCCCTTTCTATCATAAACTGAATGGTTTTACCCCAATCGCAGAGATCAAACGTGCTGAATTGTAAAGCTTCCAGTATACGTCCTGTTATGTACACCACGTTCTCAAATCCATTTGTCATTCTACGGATTATTCGCTTGAGTTTTATTTGTTTACTCCACTGAGATGCATTTTATCTATAGGCTTTATTGTCAATGTGATGATGCCTAGTTTGCCCACTTCTTGCTGAGCTTCATTTAACTATGCCACTTATGTGACGCGGACTTATGTTAACTTGAAACGTACGAGAATTGAATGTTAAATGAAAAGGAATTGAAACATTTTGTCACTTCACGCTTACAGGATTAGGCTGAGCTATCACACTGATTTCGTTTGTCGTTAAGTTGTTGTTGATAGCAGGTGTGGCCAAAAATTTTATTGCCCAGTTGAGTCGAAGAATGGGCCAGTCGTCCCGTTTGAATCTCCAGTCTTCACTTTTGTCAATTTTTCAACCGGATAAGGAATCATGCCGCTATCGATTTGCCCACTTCAATGTTTATCGATTCGAAGATTCGATGGCCTGTGTTGCGTCTGCAGTGCGAGACCCATGCAGCATGCGCGTCGGGTTATTCTGGATGCTTGTCTGTTCAGCATTATTTAGAGGATATTAAGGTAGCTTCGCTTTCAACCCCAATCTTTGCTCCTAGGTATTTGTTCTTTAGAATTTTGATGGAAACTACGAGTACCCCTCGTTAACAAATATGACAATCTTAGGCAAGTTA